TCTCTTGCTTCCTCTCACCATGTGATCTGCTTGTACCCGCCGGCTGCCTGCCACTTTCTGCAATGATTAGAAGCAGCCTGAGGCCCATGCCAGATGCAGCTGTCCCATAATCGTAAGCCAAATAAGCTTCTCTTCTTTATAAATTACCCAGTCTCGGGTATTTCTGTTATAGCAACACAGAACGGACTAAAACACTAATGAAGAGAAGATAGCCAGAGAAGCAGCAGCAGTGAGAATTGTCAGGAGCCCCTCTCCTCGGCCCCTTTTACGTTGAGCCCTATAGGCCGCTAGTCCCCCTTCGCTAGTCCCCCTTCTCATTCTCTATCACCTGCCATATTATCATACAGTCTGGATGTATATTGGAGACAGTGATCATATAGATTTAGGGTTGGGGGCACTGGGACTGGATTTGGGTCCATGCTAATAATGTTGAAGGCATTATGGCCCAGAGGCCTAGATAAAAGAGATTTGGGAACAAGAAAATAAAAAAAAGAAAAACAGAGTCAGAGAAAAAGCCTGAGCCTGGGATGAGGCCAAGATCCTGACAAGTCAGCAAGGGAGGAGTAGGGAGGCAGGCAGAGAAGGCTTGGCTGTGCTGCTGTCAGTTGGACATTCCATTCAACTGCCCTGATGGGCATTCCGGTCCACTGAGCATGCCCGGTTTGTGTGACTAACTTTCACCAAGTACAACAATCAACAAGATCACCAAAAAGGCTTACCAACACCAGGCCAGTAAAGTAACCACTGAATACCATTCCCAAATCTGTGATCAATGGACCCACGTTTAGGGAGAGGAACTCATTTGGTCAACAACAATGGTTTGAGTCCCAGTCTCTAATTTCTTCCTTCTCTGGTCTCCACCAAAGGGACAATATTCAGTGAGATGCAGCCATTTTGTTGGTCAGCAGGAGCTCAGAAGCAAGAAAATGTCATAGTGGTAGAACACAGCATCATTCTCCTCAACAGCAAACCCATCGCTGGAAGCTCCCACATCATTGTGTAATCAAGTGGAGGAGGGACATTCATTTAGAGAACCTTATGTGAACCTTATATGAGAAACTTGCCAACCTGCTTCTTTGATTTTTTTGCCCTACTATTTCTGATACTTAGGTGCTGTGTCTTAGAGAGCCAGAAACAGCCGAGACATGACTTGCAGCACAGAGGAACCCATAAGTAAGCATCATGGGATACTGAGGAGCTATGGATCGGCTGTGTGTTTTGTGTCTGTGTAACCACAAGCATATGTGGAGGCTGGGAGTGGTGTCACTGGGAGAGGTCTGTGCACCTCAAAGGCTTTATGAAATGGTATGCTAAAGAAAGGTTGTTTCTCTCTGCCATCCCTCTATTCCAAAATAATAAAATCATGCCATTTGTGAAGGACCAGTGACAGACTGTAAACCTGAGAGAAGATTGTGCTTTGTCTTCTTTAAAAATTTACAGTCTACCTAAGGACAAAGTGGCTACATGTCAAAGAAAGGAAGCATCTTTAATTTTAAACACTGGAAGAGCCCTTTGAACATATCATTCTCCAATTTTCAAGTATAGCTCCTTTCTGCTTTGCCAAAAACTTTGTACTTAAGGGGTATGTTGTTTGATTTAGAGGCTCATGGAAAATCCTCACCTCCAAAAGCATCTCTCCTACAATTTTCCATGTGACCTGAAATTGCTCAATTCCTTTGACTCGAAATTTGTTCAGTTTTCTAGAGTGCTCTATTCAAAAACATGTATTCCTAGAAAGTACAGATCAAAAATATGTAGGTCATTATCAGAAAAGAACAAGGTCTCATGAGCATGGGACCAGAAGCGGTACCTGGAAGGGACAGGAGGGTAGATGGAGAGAAAGAGGGTGTGGAAAAAGAAGATGGGGAGGTGCAAAGGGGGGAGGCATGGATAAACAGCCAAATTGCACCACTGCCTCTGAATGCTCAAGTCAGGAGTAAGGGATTCTGCTTATTGCATCTAGAGCCGAGCATTGCTAGAGAGGATATGTAGGGCAATGCCCACTTGACTGGAGGGATAAACAGGAATGTATTATCATCTCTTATTTTTCAAATTTAATTCAAGTTTTGAAAAAAATTACTGAGCATCTGCTATTTTCAAATATGTCAAGGATATGAAATATAGAATAAGACATAGTTCCTGTCATCGAAGAGCTAGCAGTCAGGAAAAATAGAGAGAGAGGAGGAAAGAGGGAGAGAGGGAGAGTGGGAGAGTGGGAGAGAGGGAGGGAAGGGAAGAGAGAGAATGAATTTTTTGTGACTGTTGCAAGTAATTAGCAGGAGGGCATTTCAGCACATATTTTAATCTTTCTTTTTCTGTGCATTTTAGAGATGTTTGGCGATATTAATCTGACTCTTGGCATGCTAAACAAGGAAGATAATATTAGCAAGGTAGGACAAATAGAGGAAAATCTCTCTCCCATTTACCTTTTCTAATTCAGTATCTTTCTTTGCCTTAGCTTCCTTATTTTTTGCTTCTTACATGGCATTAGATTTTTCAGAAAATGTAGTTGTAATGGAAGTCATTATAATGTTTAAACAATGATATTTAGCCTTTCAAGAATTGCAGTGTCCACTTCCACAAGCTAGAAAAAGAATGCCCTCTTTCATAACCTTATACAGGCAGATGTGAAAATAGAGGGATGTGAGATTTACAACCATGTGTATTAGAGCCTCCTCATTTATAATTTGAGGAAGCCTACAAAAATCCCAAAATGTCTCTTCTACTTCGTTGTAATGCTATTTCACAAGTAGAAATTTATTTCTCTGAGAATTGAAGGATTTTCAGGCTTTAACAACCTTTTATAGATAACAATGACTATCCTTCATTGAACACTTATCTAGGAAGTAGAGTGTTAAACGTTTTCCAAACAATAGTGCATTGTACAATATTCCCTCTTCACAACAACTTTACGAGGTAGGTATAATCATTTCCATGTGACAACTGAGAAAAATGAGGCACAGAGAAGTTACAAGACTTGCCCAACTAAGAACAGCAGGACTATATCCAAGCACAAGCCCATCTGACTCCAAATAAATGCCCATAATCATTATTCAACGTTGCCTCCCAGTGAAGGCCAGCGCCTACACTTGTTATCTCTTAATTCAGTAGTTCTCAGCCCTGAGTGTGTATTGGAATCCCCTAGAGAGTGCTGGGAAAATACCAATGACCAGGTCCCACCACAAGGGATTCTGATTGGGTCAATCTGTGAGGAGCCTGGGCATTTAAAGTTCGCAGAAATGATCCTAACATTTAGGCATGGATGAAAACCATTACATTAATCTCTCAGTAGGAATTAACTTTCCCATAGAGCACCATTTCTCAAACATTGGGAATCACTTGGGGAATGATCTCTAAACCCCAGAAGTACTGAAGGATAATTTCCAGGGAAGGGACCAGAGAATATGACTTTTAACAGGCACTTCCAAATTATTTGTATGGTGGGTCACATACAAATATTAGGAAATAGCAATAGGGTTAGGAAATAGCAATAGCCATCATAACCAGGAGGTTAAGGTGCCAACTAAGAGTCAGACTGCTAGGTTCAAAGTCCTGTGTCACCAACTTAATACTAACCACACTAAGCTCTCTGTGACTCAATTTTCTCATCTATAAAATAAGTAGATTAGTGGTACCTAACTGAGAGGCTTGTTTGCATTAATGAGATGTTCCAGTTTATTAGTCGGTTTTTGTTGATTATCACAAAATGCATGGAACTGGGTAATTTGTAAGAAAATGAAATTTATCGCTTACAGTTTCTGAAGTTAGGAAGTCCAAAGTCCATCTGGTGGTGGCAACCGTGACCCAGTGGTCTCACATTGCAAGATGGTGGAAACAGAGAGAGAAGAGAGAGCACAATCTCCTCATTCACTCTCTTTTTAAAGCCCTCAGAACCACGCCCCTGACCACCATTTTTAATCCGTTCACTACAGCATGGTCCTACAGTCTAATCACCTCTTCAAGGCTCCACCTTTCCATTAGCATAATAGGATTTCCCACCCTCTTAACAGTCACCATGGGGTCACTGTGGGGTCAGCAGGAGCATTGATTAAATTTACCTAGATCACCATCACCAAAAGCAGAAATCCCTCTCAATATCTCCAATATCAAAGTTTCTAATACATAAAGCTTGGGGGTACAAATCAAGCTTCAATGAGTTTTAGGGGAACATAATTCAGTCCGCTACATCCAGATAAAGGGTCCAGCACAGCTCTAGGAACATGGTAAGGACTCTGTGATTGCTAGCTTTGCCAAGAGAGCAAAGCCTGCAGACAGCAGAGGAAGCACATGGGGCAAGAGGACTCAGACAGACAGGCAGGCTCTGAAAGTACTCACAGGGAAGAATACGAAGACGAACTGTAGCTTGTTCTCAAATTCTCCAAGGACCAGCCGTGAGGAGTCATGCAAAGGAAGTTATTTCACACGTGGGTGAAGTACCTGGAGGTACATGTTGAGGCCGTTGGAGATTTCAGAACATCAGTCTCTCTTTCATCTTCCAGAAGACGCATAGCCACCTACAAGATTTAGAAGAGCCCTCACATGTAGCATCTGGTGAAGCCACATGAGTCTTGAAGGCTGCTTCTCTGTCCAAAAGGATTCACCATCTCCTCTCTGCAGAGGAATGAGTGAAATAGGGGCCTATAAATCTCCTATAAAATCCAGTTTTATAGCTTAGCAGCCTTTTTGGGAATGACAGTGTATTCCTCAGTAGTAAGAACAGCAATTAGGGACAAGCACTTCCATTGCCCTGAGTGCAATGTACTAATGATTTTCAAGAGACTTTGATATGCCTCGGAGTCTGCTCCTGCCTTTAATTAGATCTTGACATAAAAATGTAGTCGGGTTAAAATAGTTTTTAGAATTAACTGTGTTCTACATATAAGCCTTTGACCCCAAAAGATGTAAATTATGTTTGCGAAGCCTTGATTAAGATATCTAAAATCCACTGTGTAGTGAAGATACATTGCTTACTTTAATAGTGTTATTGGGCCAGCCCGTAGCTCACTCGGGAGAGTGTGGTGCTGATAACACCAAGGCCCCAGGTTCGGATCCCATATAGGGATGGCCGGTTCGCTCACTGGCTGAGCGTGGTGCTGACAACACCAAATCAAGGGTTAAGATCCCCTTACTGGTCATCTTTAAAAAAAAAATAGTGTTATTCATTTGGACTTCATCTGATTCCTTTATTTTTGCAACACAAATTTCTGTGTATACCCTTGTATGTTCACAGGAAGACATTTACAGTCATCTTGCTTCTATTATTCAGAATACTAACATCTTGGATGATGCAATTGTCCAACGGTTGATTTATTATGCTTCTAAGGACATGAGAGACGACAATGTAAGTTTGGTTCTTGAATCAGCATCAGGGCCAGCAGCAGGGTCTTTAAGTGACCCAACTGCACTCATGTGGATGTCCATAAGGTTTTTTTGCACTGCTGCCAGGTCGACAAATCACTTTTATTTGTCCTTCATGGTAACTTGGATACGGTTATTGTACCAGTTATTTACCTCTTTGCAGATGAAGAAACTGAGGCAAAGCTAAAAAAGACTTTAGAGGTCACACTATCCACCCTCCTTTTAGATGAGGAAGTAGGTACTTAGAGAGATTTATTTTTTTCGAACACAGCTATCTATTGACAGAACAAGTTACTAGACCCAGGTTTTTTGGCTCTTGTATGACTTATTATCTCTTTACATGACTACTTATTTTGGATTGTCTAGTAGACATTGCAGCAAAAAAAAAAAAAAAAGAATTATTTATAGAAATTATTTGATTTCTAGGATGATGTTATTTTCTTCCAGAAAGAAATTTTACTTGTTCTTTCCAAGAACACTAACAATCTATGATCACTCTCAGGGCTTGAAATTTCTGGGCCAATTCTGTGACTCACAGTTGAACTGAAGTTCATGTGAGAGCTGATTGAACCTTCTACCTAAATGCAGCCCTTTGGGGTCTTAGCCCAAAAGATTGGAGGTGAGACAAGTGTCTCACCACTGTTTGGCCCTGAACTCTGACTACTGCCCCAAGATGCTGCAATGCAGCCTCAGATGTAGGATTTATTTCTCTGGATTCCCAGTCTCTCCAGATCTCAACTCAATAATTCACTTCATTCTATATTGTGAGCTCTTTGATGCTGTCATGAGAATATTTATTAAATATCTTGTTCAGATATTTTTATTTTTATCAGAAGGAGGGCTGATTAAATTTACCTAGATCACCATTGCCAAAAGCAGAAGTCCCTCCCAATATCTCCAATATCAAAGATAATTACACCAGGATAACAACAAAAACAAGTCTTTTGACTCCTAGCCCATTTCCTTTCACTATGCGTTTTAATCTTTCAACCACAGTAAATCATATCACTTAAACATAAAACATAAATCTTACGTTCATGGTATCCGATCAATTAGGAAGAAAACACCTGTTGACCCCAAGTTTACAAGAACCCTATTAAAATCATTTCAGTGAATTCAATTTACCTCTGCTTTCCCAGCTACCGACACTTACTCGAGAGTCTTTTGCCATGATTTATAACAGCGTGTTCTCCCTCTATCCCAAAGCCAGGGGAACTTTTAAATATTATGTAGACTCTTTCTCTTATGAAGACTCATACTGCTCTTCCTCTAGTTGTTATTGTCATTTTTCTTTCCCTCCTTAGATTCTCAGAGAAATCAGAATGTTAGCTGGTGAGGTTCTGGTGTCTCTTGCTGCACATGATTTCAACTCTGTGATGTATGAAGTACAAAGTAACTTCAGGATCCTAGAGCTACCAAACGAATTTGTTGTGCTAACTCTAGCTGAACTAGCAACAAGCTATGGTACTGGGGGAATACTCACCACGTTTTCTCTGGGAAACAACCACCCTTGACTAATTGTCTAAAACACAAGGAGGAGCAAGCAAATGGCAGAAAGGAGAGCATCTTTACCTTCTGCTCTACTAAAGAATATTGACAGAAGGAAGTGGCCAGCTGTTTATAAGCACATTAGCCTGCTGACCAGCCATGAGTCCAGACTGCTTTGAATTTTGCCAGACTCTCTCCCGTCCTCATCTTCCCCTTTATCTCCCTTTGTGTTTGCAGAAGCACATTTTCCATATGGCAAATTCTGCAAACTACTGAACACTTACATGAAGTAAGGTTCTCTACCACCTGTTCCTATTCTACTTTATTGAACAGATATTTATTGAGCACCTAATACATCTAATACTAGGCCTCACGGACACAGGCAAGGTCTGGTGGTCGAGAATGACATTAAGAAAATAATTATCCCAATAAGCAATTGCCACTAAACAGGAGGTACAGGTGGCTGTATAGCTAGTACCTTATTTGAAACCAACCATGCCTTGATTCTCTAACCACAGCCTGGCATTAAGGTAGGGGTGGGGCGGGACGAAGATCATCTTCCCACTGCCCCTTGTCTGCCTCCTCCATGCAGCCCTGAAATGCTTATTTGTGCCCCTCACTGCAGTGTCCCAGAGTATTCCCTTCATGATGATGACCCTGCTCACCATGCAAACCATGCTCAGGCTGGCCGAGGATGAAAGTATGAAGAGGACTTTCTGTATCGGTGGGTGTCCCTCTGATTTCCTCTTCACTTAAGACCAGACTACGAACTGTCTTATCAATTGAGCACTAGTCTTGTTTTTCCTTTCACTCCAGTCTTATCTTTTCTAATAATAATAGCTACCACTTACTGAGCGCCTTTGCAGGGAGTTATCTTATTCAATCCTCACAGCAATTCTGCAAGGTAAATACACATAGTCCATTTTACAGGGGAGAAACTGGGGGTCATGCAAATTATGCAATGTTCCCAAGGTGGGGACACAGTCAATGAGATGTAGAGGCACCCAAACCCGGGCCTCTATAACCACTCAGTCTACTCTCTTTCCACTGCCCTGGATAGCCTCCAGTTCTACTAGATTCCTTCTTTAACCGGATCACACTTTCTCTGCAATAATTATGACAGCTTACCAGCTCTTAGCACTAGTAGGTTAAAATGCAGCATTGCAATAATGATAAGTAAACAAAGTAATCAAAACACTAGCATCATAAAATCAACTAAAATAGGCATGTAAACTATGGTCACAAATCCCTTCTACCCAAAACCGAAAAACATCTACAGTATTTAAGAGTCTACAGAGAAGAATATGCCTTGGAATGCCTAGGAAAAAAGAAAAAAAAAACATTTTCGGTGCAGAGGGAGGCTTCTTGGATAAGTCTGGGGAGCTGGACTCTCATATCTGCTCAGTCACTGAGCCACCAGGTGACACTGCCCTTCTCTCAGTACCAGTTTTACCTCTAAAAACATTAGAAGAAGTGATTGCTAAGATCTCTTCCACTCTATCATACCTTAACACTACTATTTTCTAATATTTAAAAGCCCATGCTGTCAGGATTGTCTTCTTTACCTATCAGCCAAGCTTCTTCTATTCCATTTCCTCTTGTTCTGTCCTCAATAAAGGGAACATTTTTATCTGATATATAGAGAGAACTCATTATATGCTGGACGCTGTCCTGAATATTTTAAGATTATTATTTCATTTAACCCTCACTACAGCCCCATTAGGAGGGTAACATTTCTCTTCCATTTAACAGATGATAAAATCGAGGCTTAGAAAGGTTGAACAGCTTGTCTGAGGTCACACAGCTAGTATGTGCAACAGCCAAGTCTGTCAGCTACATCAGTCTGACTCCGAGACCTGAACAACTACACTAGATTGACCCACTTGTCAATTCTTTTTACTATCCCTACTTTTATTGTCACTGATTAACACTGTGTTCCTGCAAATAAACTTTGAAGCCTCTAATAGCATTTACACTTCCATTATTAACAATCAAGAATGTAAAATAAAATAAAATTGGAAATCAACATGGCAATTAATAAGGGAATTCTTTGTCTTTATAATGTTATCTAAGTGCCCTTTGGTCCTAAAGCAACTTTTTGCCTGATTGTCATTAAAGAAAAGGTACAAAATGTAACAACTATCCGTACATCCATTTTGCCAACCAGTCAGCCATATCTAGTTATTTGATCAATAAGCAAAAAAGCATACATTATGTTGGCTGCTTCAGATGCCATGAGCTGATAAGAGATCATCCCTTCTCTCATGTTGCTTACAGGCCAGTGGGAGACACACACAAACATATATATAAATACACACACACACACACACAGATATTATGATAAAGTGTAGCAGGAGGTTCAGAAGGACTTTGGAGGGAGTGTGAATGAGCCAATAAACGGCCAGCTCTAAAGCCAATATACTCAGGGTCTTTTCCACAGTATTCTACGTATTCTGAGGTTTCCTTGAAGGAATGCATTATGAATTTTTTTATCACCTAATGAAATGGGTAGCATGAGGGCTTAAGGAAAAAATATTATTTTATGCATTCGATAGAAATACACGTGGATTAGTGGCCCAAATGATATTTTTGCAAGGCTGATTTTCTTTTAACCTTATTGAAGTGCAATATAGACATAAAAACATACAAATCAGAAGCATACAGGTTGGTGAGTTATTATTGCAAAGTGAACTTATCCATGTGGCCACCACTTGGGTTAAGAAGTAAGACTTAACTAGTTCCCAGAAGCCCGCCTAAAGTTTCCTCCCGAGAGTAACCACAATCCCGACTTATAAATCATTATTTCTTCCTGTTGATGAGATCCGCACATGTTGTTCTGGGTAGCTGTAGTTCATTGCCATTTCTGCATTCTATTACATGTTTGTACTGCAATTCATTTATCCATTCTACCAAATACCTAATATATTTGGACTATTTTCCTTTGGAAGCTACTACCAAAATAAAGCTAATATAAACATTCTTGTACAAGTTTTGGTGCCTATATGTGGGCATATCTAATGGCTGTACACCTAAGACTGGAATTGCTGGGTTGTATGAAATGCATATGCAATTTTGGTAGATAGTGCTAAAGAGTTTTCCAAAGTTTTTGCACCAGTTTAACTCCCACCAGCAATATGTGAGAATACCAGCTGCACCACTGTCTTGGCAACACTTAGCATTGACTGTATTAAATCCTAGCCATTCTGGAATGTATGCAGTAGTATCTCATTATTGTTTTAATTTGCATTTCACTAATGTGGCTGAACACTTTCTATATGTTTACTTGGTACAGTCATAAGATTGTATAGAAACGACCACACATTTGCTAATCATCAGTACTCTCTTCTCAAATTATTTTGTGGTCCTTCCCACCTTTTTATTTTCTCAGTCTGTGGTTGTGTTTTCTAAGTGCAGCCCTTGAGAAGTTCAGCAAGGCCATTTACAAGTATGTCAACCACTGGAGAGACTTCCCTTACCCCAGACTGGATGCCAACCGACTTTCTGACAAGATCTTCATGCTGTTCCGGTATATAATGGAGAAATGGGCCCCCATGGCCTCACCCATGCATGTGAGTGGGGCCTCAGGGTGTCTTAAGCTGGATTTCCTTCCATGCTGTTTGAAATTCCTGTTCTCTTCATGACATGATAATTAAGCTCAGTTCTTTTGGATGCTATTTTGGTTGGGTTTTATGAGGTTTATCAAATCTATAATTTCTTCCACCTATTTTAAGTAACTTTTTATTTATTCTTTCAACTAATATTTATTAAATCCCCATGATATGTCAAATACTGTTCCAGATGCTGGGGATTTATCAGGGATTAAACAGACTAAAATCCTCACATTCATGAATCTGAGATCCCAATGTGTGAAGAAAACAATAACATGATAAAATGAACAAAATATATAAAACGTTAGCTATTTCACATCTTATATATCATAACCCATATTTGAGCTGAGTCACTAATTAGGAAAAACAGCAGTCCACAGAAATTTCCTCTATGAATATCATGATTAAATAAAATAACACCCAAAGAAATGTATTTGGCTGCTTAAAATACTGCAATGCCTTATAGAGAATAAATTACAAAGTGCATTCACATATATAATTCCAAGAAATTGCTATAATTTTTTTTAAAGTAGACAAAAGTATATCCTATTTAGGTCTCTCATTGCTATATTTTATTTATTTATTTTATTTTATTTATTTATTTATTTTTTTTACTTTTTTTGAATTTTTATTTTGTCGATATACAATGTGGTTGATTATTATGGCCCATCACCGAGACCTCCCTCCCTCTTCCCTCTCCCCCCTCCCACCCAACGATGTCCTTTCCGATTGCTTGTTGTAACAACTTCAAAGGATTGTAGTTGTTATATCTTCTTCCCCCCCCAATATGTGAGAATACCAGCTGCACCACTGTCTTGGCAACACTTAGCATTGACTGTATTAAATCCTAGCCATTCTGGAATGTATGCAGTAGTATCTCATTATATTTTTAGCTCCCACCAATAAGTGAGAACATGTGGTATTTCTTTTCTCTGCCTGACTCGTTTCACTTAATATAATTCTCTCAAGGTCCATCCATGTTGTTGCAAATGGCAGTATTTCATTCATTTTTATAGCTGAGTAGTATTCCATTGTGTAGATATACCACATTTTCTGTATCCACTCATCCACTGATGGACATTTGGGCTGGTTCCAACTCTTGGCTATTGTAAAGAGCGCTTCATTGCTATATTTTAAAAGGCTCAATACTTAGCCACCTTCTCTAGTTCAGTTTCTTTTCTACATTTTCAGTTACTAAAGCATTTATTTTCTAAAATCCTGGGGTAGTTAAATCATGGGCAAACATGGAACTTTTAAAATATCCTGTAGAAGTCTTTTCTTCAAGGCATCTGAAAAACAAAATTCAATGCATCCACGTCATGGCTCCTCTCCTTACTTCCCACAGGAAGAGCCAGGCAAATAGACAAAAGGTACACACGGTGTCAAGAGAGCCCAGAGAGGGAAGCGCTTACCTCCCCTGGCTGGGAAGGCTGTGACACTGGAACTGAGCCTTGCAGCCCATGAAGGTGCTCCCCTCAGAGAAGTTGCATTCCCTAAAGAGGGAACAATACCTACTGGAGCATAGGCTGGAGATGGGATGACATGCGCACTTGAGTGAGTGCGGTGGGAGAAGGAGAAGGGGAGAGAGGAAAGGAGATAAAAGGCAGAAAGAAATGAAACCAGAAAGGTGGCCTTGGCCCCATAATGAAGTACCTTGAATGCTACACAGGAGTCGGGACTAGATTTTTTTGTTTGCCTTATTTTTTTGTTTAGTTTTGTTTTTTAAGAAATGAAAAACTTTTGAAGGGTTTTAAGAAAGGATTTGAGTACTAGGAAAATCATTCTGATATCAACATTCAAAATGAATAGGATATAGGGGTGAACTAAGACAAGACTATCAGTCAGGAGGCTATAGAAATATTCCAGGTCATAAATGATGGGGGGATCAATTAATGTGGCATCAGTGGTACTGATCAGTGGAGTCAGACGCTGAAGGATAGAATCAACAGGACTTGGCAGCAACCGGATCCTTCTAATGAGGAAAAGGGAGGCACCTGGGATGATTCCTAGATTTCTGACTTGAGTGATCTTGGCATCATTAATTTGGAGGAGAAAAAGAGCAGGAGTAACAAATTTGGGGCAGTTTAACATAGACATTTTGACTTAAACACTTAGGGGTTTGACATTCACATGGTACATTCACATGGCGATATTAGTAGGTTTGTGGGTTATGAAGAAAAAGAAAAACTGGATATAGAGGCTTGGGTACTGTTATTATGTGTGACAACTGAAATAAATGGTTTTGGATAGAGTTGTTCAAAGAGTATGGTAGGGAAGTACCAAAAGTGGAGTTCTCAGGGGGCATCAGTATTAAGGGGAAAGAAAAGGAAGAAGAACCCATGGTGGGGAATGGGGAATGTGCTACTAAAAACGTAGGAGAACCAAGTAGAATGAGATCTTAGCAGCTAAGAAGAAATTTGCAAGAAGCAAAGAAAGATCTACAGAGTCCATTGTTAACAATGCTCAAGTGAGAACCATCTTGAAGAGTGTCCACTGCAGGGAAATGTGTGGTAGAAGAAGCACCCAGCTGACACAGTCTTGAGAGGAATGCTGGTCATTGTTATCAGCCACTAAGTTTTAAGGTCATTTGTCGTATGGCAAAATTTAGCTGATACAAAAAAAAAAAATAATGTCATACAATACTACATAGAAAAAGCCAACTATAGAACTATATGAGTGGTGTCAATTTTTAGGAAATTATAATACATAGAAAAAAAAGGTAGAAAAGAATCAGTCTAAGTAAAATATATCAAGCAGTTCTCATATATGAGTACTGCAGGTACTATGTTTTTTTCCATCATAATAATTTGTGACTTCTAAATTTTTATAATCAACATAGATTACATTGATATTTTATACCCTGGAAGTTATTTGTTTTCCGTGTCAAATGGAAAACATAAATAGTGGATAAAGATCCATAAAATAGTGGATTGAGGGGCGAATGGGAGGTGAGAATTGAAGACAGAAATGTAGACCATTCCTTCAAAAAGCTTTGCTCCAAGAGAAAGGGAAGAGGAACAGAACAGGGCAGCGATAGTACTGGGGGTCAAGGTGATGTGGAATCAATGGATGTTTTTTAATATGAGAGAAATTTTTAACTCATTAATACACCAAAAGAAAGTGACTACTAGAGAGAAGTTAAAGAAGTAAGACAGAGGGTAAGCACTGAAACAATTATCAATAGAGATATGGATGTAGATATAAATACAACTGCCTCATGCAATGATTTTAACCTGAACATTTTTTAAAAGATTGTAAAGAACCTCTTTTTAGCTGAAAACAGTAAGGAGTTGTTTTTTGTTTGTTTGTTTGTTTGTTTGTTTGGTGGGGGGCTAATCTTAAGTTTCTGGTGCTCTGAGAAATGTATAAAAAAGCATAACAAAGTATTAAAACTATTATTTGTTTGCTGCCTGTCCAGACGTTGGTCATCATTAAGGCCCATGGCCCCACCGTGAGCCTACTGCTCCATCGGGAAGACTTCTGTGAATACGCCCTGAGCCAGGTAGCTTGGCTCCTGACCCAGTACAAAGACAGAGAGACTGATTTCCACATCACTCAGGTAACAGTCACACCATAAAGGAACTGAGTCAGAGAATCAATATGCAACTATTCTGGAGGATACTGAGTGTCAAAAGGGCCTTAGGAACTTAAATGCCTGTTTGGGTGGCTGAAATTAAATACTTCTTGGGGAATGTGAGGTAAAGAGGTTGTCATAGCTGGATGATACGGACTCCAGAAAAGGATTAAGAATTTTCATTCCAAGCTGCTGTGGAACTGAACAAGGTAGAGGGGCTGGAATCATTAAAGAAAACTTGTAACTGCAGGAAGGTTACGGGCTTGTTCTTCTCATAGTACATAATTACTTGCATTCCACATCCTGTGCCGCTGCTCCATCAGCAGCCCCAACTAACCTGCCAAAGCTTCCATTCTAGAGTCTAAAACAAATACTGACCGCAGTCGTCCTTTATGACATCGGCCTTCCAAGGGGCTTGAGAAAATCCATCTTTATCAATCTACTTAATCAGGTAAGAGGACCCACTATCAAGTCTGCTTGTTTCATTTTAACCAGTTTTCTCTTCTGAACATCTGCCAACTGCCTCTTCCATCCCATTCAGATCTGCAGAGCTCCAGAGCCTCCAGCAAAGGAAAATGAAATCGAAGCTTCAAGCTGTTTCCTCATTCTAGGTAGGACCCAGCATCCGGAGGGTTTTTAGTAAAAACATCTCCAAATGATGATGATGACAATGGTAAAGGGTGTGCAACCTGTCTCATTAGTTACTGTCACACATACACACACAAAATGTTCCCCGAGCTCACAGTATTCTGTGCCTACCCCTCTCCGACAAGTTCCCAACAGGAGCACATAGGTAGAGTGACCAATCGTGCCAGGGTGCCTGGGACTGGGGGGATTCCAGAGAGAGATTTTCAGTTCTAAAACCAGAAGAGTCCCAGCAAAACCAGGATTTGTTGCTAACTTGAAGGATGGGAAGTTGCCTTTTTTTTTTTTTCTTTTTCTTGGTATTTGAGATTATTTGAAACTCTGTCCAAATCCAACGTCACCCTTTTTACTCCCTGTTCGTTTCTTAGTACTGAGCCTCTTTAGTCATCAGTCACTCCCTGTCTCTCTCTCCCTCCTTCACTGTCTCCCTTTTCTTCGTGCAGTTACCTCACAACCTCCTCCATCACCTGGTTAGAAAGTCTGACACAGGTTATATAGGAGGCACCAAGGTCCCACAGTCAGGATGTAAGACTGTGCTCCAGCAGTCCCTGAGGACAAGGACAGCTGCAATCCAATACTTCCCACCACAACTCTATTCTCTCTCAAATACATCACTTCTCCTGTCTCTTTGCATACCTTTTCATTATGTTCTAATTCTCTCCTGACTGACCCCTTGTCTCTGCACTTTCCTCTTTTCCTTCCCTCCTCCAGCCTAATTAACTAATTCACTGTATCTTTGACAATTTCCGAAACAAACTGCTGTCCCCAAGCCAGGCGCTGCCTCCCTCTTCCTGTTCCTGCCCCTGCAGCGCTCGAGCTTCGCAGCTGGTGAAGCATCACTCCAGTCACTGCCCACATAGCCACATGGTGTTCTTGCTGTGCCTCTGTGTCCCTTCTCCTTTTCTTATAAGGACACCAGTCATATTGAATTACAGCCCATTCTAAAGACCTCTTCTTTACTGGATTACATCTGCAATGATCCTAATTTCCAAATAAGGCCCCATTCACAGGTAAGAACAGAAGTGAGCCTAGGTATAAAAAGCTTTCTCAGCTCTCTCAGAACTGCTTACTTAATTCTGTGAAACTGAAGAAGCACGGACATAAAAAAAAATCCATTTACCAAATGACAAGTGACTTTGCCAGTCATCATGAGGAAATTCCTGTCTTCCCATTCATGAGAATTTTACCTAAGATGAAAATGAGTTCTTACAACACTAGTGTTTCTTAAACCTGCAGCCCATTCCAACTCCGCAGACCTGGTGGAATTTTTTGATGAACAAATAAGAAGTAATAATGAAGCTATTCGAGTGGGAATCTTGGCTTTGTTAAGATCAGCTATCAATGTTGAGGGTAAGCAACAGGGATGAAGCCAGAGTAGTTTATTTCCTACCAAAAAACAAATTAAAACTTATAGGACTAATCCTATCCTATGTCTTTTGGATGTTTACATAACATCATATGCAAGTGAAACTGTCTTCTCCAGTCTTGTAGAATCTATTCCTTTTAAATAGGCATTTCCAGCTGCCTCTCCCCTTTCATGAAATTTATGAGGTGCACGCAGCTGAGAAAGATGAGTAAAATTTTGACAATCAAATCTACAATTTAGAAAATCTAGTAGGTTAGTTAAATGGCCCAATACACAGGGGGTGAGTGGGAAGAGTGTGCAATTCTGCAGAGATTGATACATTTAGAAAAGGGCATAATTTAATGAATTGCTATATTTCATTAATTCCAAGAAGCACATATTTTCATAATATCTAATCCAGTTTATAATTGACAATATCCTTAATTATAATTACACACTCTCTTTTCTTTTGGTGTAATGTAAAATAATTTGGTGCATCATAAAACTGATGATATCTCAGATTCAATAAAATGTAAGAATTCATTTTGCACAACGTGATATTGTTTGTTTTTTTAAAAATTCAGTTAGCACTGTGATTAACTGAAGAATCAGTGGATTAGAAATATGAAGCAATCTCACAAAATTTAGAGCTGATTCATTGGGCATGACATATTGAGCACACTATGGAGCCTAACATTTTAAACAAGATGAAACAAATGTAATCAGGAATAAAGCAGTCAACATCCTTAAAGAGCTGGAAAAGAAGACAGTAGAAAGGAATTGAATGACATAAGATGTTAAAGACAAGAGACTTTGCAGTCACATACCATAATTCTAATTAGTTTTCATCAGTCCTATAACATACTGAACTTCTACTGAGTCTGGCCTCCCAATTTCTCCCTGTCTTTCAGAGCCCAATTTCAGGGATCACATCACTTCCATTGAAAGAACAGTCAAAGTCGTCATGGGTGACCTCAGTATAAAAGTAAGAGAATAGGGACTTTTATTTGGTTGATGGTAGCTTTATGAATAAATGAAGTGATTTTGATTCTTTAAGGATCTACTTATGAGACAGCTTTATGAAGAGCTCAGTGATCAATTCCATTTTTAAAAGAACTCTATTTTCCCAAATAGGTAAATTACATCAAGATTGAGTCCTAAAGTATATACAATTCAAAAGCTTCTCAGTGGAAAAAAGACTTTTGCCCAGCTCCTCACTATGCCAATCATCTTCAGAGAGTTTAAAAATTAATTGTTAAGGGCCAACCCCGTGGCGCACTCCGGAGAGTGCAGCGCTGGGAGCGCTGCGACGCTCCCGACGCGGGTTCGGATCCTATATGGGGATGGCCGGTGCGCTCACTGGCTGAGCACGGTCACAGAAAAGGACAAAAAAAATAATAATAATAATAATTGTTAATAATAAAGATAATGTATCTTCCTCCAAAAAATAACTCACAAACCTTGTTTTTAGTATAAATATACTATTTTCCAACCAGGGAGCACTAGAGAAAATCCTGTATATAGCAGATTGCTCAATATTTCCAGATTATTTGATTAAAGTATTCCATGTTAGAAGATATAGAACTTATGCTGGAACAAATCAAGAAAAATCAGCAATTATTGCATTTTTTGTATAAAAAACATATTTTGTTTGGAACAAAAACCCTATGCAGAAGCCAGTGAAGAGGTGAAAATTCCTTAGAGGTTTTGATCACCAATGACTATGTTTTAAATAACAAAAGCTTTGCAATAAATAACAACGCACTGATTTTATATATATGTATGTGTGTGTGTATATATATATATATATACATACACAAACATAAAGCATAAACATAAAACAAAAATGAAAAAACCTGGCCCAGTAACTGATTGAGCCAACAGAACAATTGTGAGAAAAGTCTAGGATAGAATAAAATAACACAATACTTTAAGGAAGGCCAGCTCCCCAGGCAAAAATAGAGAGAAGGTGTGCCTCTTTTCCGCTACTTAGGTAGCCTACTCAGTGCCTTTATGCTAATTGCTTTGGCCACCATATAGCTCTGCTTCCCTTTTATCCTTTTTCGCCCACCCTTTATCAAAAGACCCACTTACTAAGGGATTGGTTCTCATCTTTCCATCCTCCAGAGAAGCAATCTAAAAGCCAAATTAAAATCAAATTATTAAAAATATTATAACACAAGTCCGTAATCCTTCACTCCAATCCCTGGGGCCAGAGATATTTCAGAATTCACAATTTTTTAGATTTTAGAAAAATATTACTCTTACAGTAGCCCACAATCTAAATCTATTAATATTTCTGAAAATAATGTTTATCCACATTACATAGAATAAGCAAAGATAAAAATGTAGATGAATAAAAAGTAAAGATCAATTTATTAGTAAAATAGCTTTAAAACGGTTCAGTTTGGGTTTTGCCACCAAATGAGTAGACACCAAATTTAAGAAACAAAATTCTAGTTTTGAGAGTTGTTTAGATTTTGAAATTGCAAATAAGTAGCTGTGAACCTGTAGCTCCATGTGCTATCTTTAACTGAGTATTCTCAAAGTGAGGTAGTGTTTTAGCTCAAAGTTATCAATATTTCACAATATTTAGTAATAGAGCCTATGTCCTTGAGAGCTGGGGAGTAAGATTTTGGCTAAGGAAGAATATTTCTGGTGGCTCTTTAATCATAACCATTAGGTCAGGTCTTGCTCCATCTATTTATAGTAACATTATTCAGTTTATACTCCTTTGTGAAAAGGTTCTCACTAAAGGATCCATGAAGTTTACAGAATAGCAAAAGGTAAATTTCTGTTCTGCCAAACATAGTAAAATGTAGCAATTGCATTGATCTTCTAGGTAAGGAATTCTACCCTCCTCCTCATCCAAACCATGTGTGAAAAGTGCTACATCGAAGCTCGGGAAGGATGGCCATTGATTGATTATGTCTTCTCCCAGTTTTCAATGTCCAACAGGAATGTGGTATGAAGAGCTTCAGTTTTGAGTGCTGCACAGTAATAAGCACAGTTGATCTGGCCTCCAAAGGTTGGGGGTTGGGGGTAGTCTGGAGAGGGGCAGAGACAATGGATTGCTTTTGAAAAACCAAAAGAGACATCAATATTTTCTATGCTGGTGTCTTAGTCCACTCAGACCGCTATAACGAAATACCATAAACTGATGGCTTATAAACAACATACATCTATTTCTCACAGTACTGGAGGCTGGGAAGCCCAAGATTCAGCATCTGGTAAGGGCCCGCTTCCATGTAGATGGTGACTTCTCACTGTGTCCTCACACGGTGGAAGGGGCTAGGTAGCTCTTTGGGGTCTCTTTCATGAGGGCACTAATCCCAAATGTGAGGGCTCTAGCCTTAAAATCTAATCACTTCCCACAGCTTGCACCTCCTCATACCATCACCTTAGGGGTTAAGATTTCAACATATGATTTTGGGGGGACATAAACATTCAGACCACAGCAACTGAGGTCAGCTTCCATCGGATGAATACACGGAAAAACTTGCATAAGATCTCAGTGATCTTCGCAAATTAGTCACAATTGAAATTACAGTTCGCTCCACTGGAAAGCAGTGTTTTGAAAACTTTTTCCCTGAGTAAAATGGTAACAGGCCTAAGGGAGAAGGAATATCTGCACTTCAAGGATCTTCAAATTTGTGTTTTTCTATTTTAACTAAGGGTGTGTTTTCCAGTCTATCCCTCCAACGGGCCCTTTCAAACAGGGATTAGATGTTGGAGACCAAGATCACTAGGTTCCATGAGCCCCTTCAGTGGAGTGACTGTGTCCTCCACTCCAGAGTCTAAGAAAACATCCCAGTAAGGTCAGAGGGGGCTAACACTGAGATTGTTAGCAAGTCACCTGTTTCATATTTCTGAAAGGATAAACCAGGGAAAGCTAACTCCCAAGCGGATGAAAAGGGAGAGATATCTGTCCGCGAAACAAGCCTCGAGGTCTTAAAAACCCTGGACCCACTGGTCATTGGAATGCCTCAGGTAAGGGGTCTTTTGTCACTATGTACAGCTACTTTGATCACCTTCCTAAAGCTCTGCCCATTGAGAAGTAAAGACATGAGTTTGTACACCACGTGTCATCAGCTTTTTGATGTTCCGGCTGGAGGGAGTGTACTGCAAGGCTCATGCCCAGCACGTAGTGGTTCCTCAAAACAGATGTTGAATTAATTAAGATAATTAATGTAATTTATTTTCTATCTGCATAGTACATTATAGTTTATAAGCCTATCAACATATTATATCTCTTCTTCCTCTACTGTATCTATACATACTGGTAAGTAGTGAGCGGTGGTTCTCACACAGTAAGTGTCAAACTTCCCCTATTCATGTGGGAAGGTGTTAAGAGTGCCCTTTCTCAGGCCTCACTGGAAACCTGATTATTGTGAACCTCAAGGTGAGGACCCTTGCAATCTGTGTTTTCCTTTTAAGCAAAACAGCCTGAGAAAGTATGTAGTGGCTGGAAGTACATGGTTCAGCCAGGAGACAATCAACAGACCACTCAATTTAAGTGGATCAGAGGCTTCACCTAGGATATGTGATTCTTGAGTTATCAGGGAAATTTACTTAAAATGCTGATTTCCAGGCCACAAACCAGACCTACTGAATCACGTATCTGGACATGGGGCCTTATCAGCCTGCAATCAAATAAGTTACAGTATTTCTGATGCATACTAAAGTTTGAGATCTAAAGTTCGATCCAGAAGTAATGATGAAAATAATAGTCTACGGCCAGACTCTAAAGAGCCTTGAATGCCAAACTCCTCCTTCCTTGTGGTTGATGAACCAATAAAAAATTTAAGCAAGGACTAAACATTTAAAACAATAATTGTAGGAAATCAGTGAATTGACATATGGGTAGAATAAGAGGAAAGAGACTGTATATCAAATCAGACACAACTTGTAGGAGCTTGGAGCAACGCCATAATAGCAGGAACAAAAGGCGAAGGGCATAAGAGATCTTATGATGAAAAGAGAACCGGCTTTAGCAATTAAATATAGATGACAAGGAATAGGGAAGAGTCCAAATTGACACCAACATTTCCATTAGGACAAAGAAGTTTCCTAAGGGACAAGAAACATACTGACTAAACAAACTATGGATGTTCCAGAGCTCCAGAGCAGGAAGCACAGAGAATAACAGCAGCCCATTCTCTATCCTCTCCCGGTCAATCTCACTTGGGGCAGTCCCGCTTCAACCTTGGGGACTGAGGAAATATATGTGCATTATCAGTTGTCACATTGAGAGGAATACTGGCACTTGGAGAGTGGTTCCCAGGGATTCTAGACTTTCTGCAGTGCCTGCAAGAGTCTCTCATAATAAATTGTCCTGACCCAAATTCTGGCAGCAACCCCATGGAGAAACACTGACCAACAACACTCACTACAACTAGCACCTGAAAATGAAGGTGTTATGCAGAGATTTTATTTAATAATTTCATTTTTACTTAGCCTGAAGAGCAAAATAATAAAACATGAAAGAAAAGTTTCTAAATCAGAGAAAAACACAGGACTGGGGAGAAATAATGGAAAAGGATAAGTAATCCTTTCATCTAGCCCTATGTTTTTCACAGGTGCTATGGCCAAGAATCCTTACTTTTGTGGTACCTGAGGAATATACAGGAACTCTGGACCACCTGTTTAATATCATCAGAATTCTGCTTATGGCAGAGGATAGGAAGAAGCATAATGCCAAGGAATCAACAGCACTTGTCATCTCTACAGGAGCTGGTTTGTACATTCTATTCATAAACGAAGCAAAACTGTTCTATTTTGAGAGACTCATTTCCAGAAAGGCTACAGTGCTTAGATCTTATACCAAACCCCAAACTGAATTTTTCTATCCCCTACGGTGATGATGAAAATTGCTTTCTCTTTCTAGTGAAACTTCCTTCACCACAGCAGTTACTGGCCAGACTTCTGGTGAGTTACAAAGAATCAATGTTGGGTAAATTTAAGCTGATATGAATAATTCCATTCTGAATGAACGATAATAAAAATTACATAGATACTCAAAAACCCAAAGAAACACTAAAATGGCATAATCAATTTTCTGCTATAGTAACGACACTTCATGAGCATGTATTGTTAAAGTTTATTTATGATTTTAAAATAAGCATACACTGAATTTCATCCATAAGTACCATGAAACAAATTTCACATCTACTGTTTGAATTTCCCTTCTCTCCCTTTGATTGCATACATATCATTTATTCAAGCACTATTTCTACATGCCCTTATTTGATATATTCATAGATATATCTAAATGCTGGTTCTTTTTATTCACTTATTTACTATATTTTTTGGTGGCTGGCTGGTATGAGAACCCGAACCCTGGAAGTTGGTGTTGTCACACCGTGCTCTAAACAACTCCATTTATTTTTGATTGGCAGTTTCTGTGTATTTTTTATCTCTATCCTCAGAAAAAAATTGGGAAGAAGGATTGTCTAAGTATTAGCTTCACTCTAGAATAAGAAAGAACAGACTGTGATGATTTGTTAAAAGATGATCTGATGTAGGAATCAAGGGAATCCAGAACAATGGTAAAAAGGCAAAGGTAGGTGGGCCTTTTAAATATCCCTGAAATTAATGACCATTTTCTCTTCCATCCTTCAGGTAATTTCTATGCTTACCAGTGTAGGGAAATTATGTGGGGCTGGTGCAATTGGACTTTTGAAAATATTGCCTGAGATAATTCATCCAAAATTGGCAGACTTATGGAAAACACGCATACCTGAGCTCCTGCAGCCTCTGGAAGGTACAAGGCCGGGGGGTCAGGTCTTTATTCAAGGAGACAAGAACACAAAGAAATGATTCAGCATTTCTCTATGTAAAGCCATAATTGCTCATTTTGAGCAATAAAAAAAATAAGCTTAATATGCAAGGTAGATTGCTTTTCTTTTTTTCTTAAGACTTTATGTTCTATTTCTCTACCTATTCTCACACTACTAGAAGACACAGTGAGTAACATTCTCAGCAGGAACTTCTGCTGTTGCTCTCGTCTTTTTTTTTTTTTAATCTAGAGAAGCTCTCTTTTGGTATTGTTCTAAAATGTTATTACTCATTCATGTTAGAATATCAAAATATAGTCATTTCAGTAGTTACTGTTGCAATTAGCAAAACGTCTAGATTTCATCATGTATTGAAGACTCTCTCTCCGCATGAATAGCACTTTAAACTTGCCAGCAATAGTAAATAATAAATAGTTAATAGTAAATTTCATCTCAAATAAGCATTCTGAGCAAAGGGAAAGCTTGAAATGAACTCCAGCATCCACTGGGGACCTGACAAGGGAGAATTTGAGTCTTGGTTTTTGCAGTTACTGCATCAATTTTTATTTCCAGGAAAGAACACTAGCATTGTGCTATGGGAAACCATGCTGCTGCAGGTAAGGGTGGCTTCTAGACTAATTGTTGATCATGGGGTGATGAAATGAGCTTAAGTTATCCATCCTAACTAAAAAGAACTAGATTCCTAAGGGCAGTAAACAACATCCCCTCTTCTTGGGAAATGAACTAGAATGTTAGAAGCGATCGCTTGAGGATAATGCTTTTTAAATCACCATAATTTGAACAACATTCTTAAGTCTTCAGTTTGATTAAGAATTTAAGACAGTATTGAAGATTTTACTTACTAATATCTTTTTCTGTCTTTGTTCAGTCTTCTCTCACTTTCAAGTTTTCTTCCTCTCCTTGTAACTGCATTCTCTTACCATTCATGTAAAGAAATACAGATTAATATAAATGCCACTTCTATGCTTCTAAATACAACTTCATTTTCTCCTCTGTTTGCTGCTCACTGTCTTTTTCCTGATTTCTAAAACCAAAGGCCCTCACTGTATCCTTTTCTAGAAAGGAATCTCCTCTCTCATTCAAAAATGTTTTAGGCCTTTATAACTGAACAGTGCCACAGACAATACCAGGTCCCAGAAATTGTAAGCTGCGGACAGAAGTTGGACATTGGCTTTACAGAGATCTCAATTTCAGGAAACTATAGGAGGTGAAGGGGCCCGTGGGCAGGAAGATTTTAATATAGCAGGTTTTCAATGTATAAGCCACCTACATAGGAATTACCTGTGGTTTCTTAAAAGTATCCATTTTCAGTGACCTCTTCACAAATCAGAATCAGAATCTCTGGGGTGGTTTCTGAGAACTAACTGATTCTGAAGGCTCCCACCAGTGATTCTTATCCAACATGAGATCTGAGAGTGACTGCTCTACTCTTCTAGTTCTCAATTCTAGGATCCATCTCCCCTCCTATATCCATGATTGTTTTATCTCCCCCTCCCTCTCTCAAAATTCCTATGCTATTTTCTACTGCTACCATTTTAAAGTAACTGTTTTTACCAGGAAGTTTCTTTCAGTAGCAAGAAGCCTTGAGAACAATCCCTTTCCCTCTTCCAATCTTGAGTGTACTTCTGGTCTTTTCCCAAAACTGTCTGCATGTGCCAGTCTCCCTTAAACTTCCAACTGATTTTTATTGTGTTGAGATAATTTCCTTCTATACCTAATTTGCTGAGAGTCTCTGTCATGAAGCAATGTTGAATTTTGTTGAATGTTTTTTCTGCATCTATTGAGATAATCACATGATTTTTGTCCTAGGTTTTGTTAATGTGGTGTATCACATTTATTGATTTGTGTATGTTGAACCAACCTTGCATCCCTGGGATGAATCCCACTTGATAATGGTGTATAATTTTTTGATTTATTGATTTGTTGTTAATGTGGTGTATCACATTTATTGATTTGTGTATGTTGAACCAACCTTGCATCCCTGGGATGAATCCCACTTGATAATGGTGTATAATTTTTTGATGTATTGCTGTATTCTGGTTGCTAATATTTTTGTTGAGGATTTTTGCATCTATGTTCATCAAGGATATTGGCTGTAATTTTCTTTTTCTATTGTATCTTTATCTGGTTTTGGTATCAGGGTGATGAGTTTGGGAGGATGGCCTGTGTTTCAACTTTCTGGAAAAGTGTGAAGAGAAGAGGTATTAATTCTTCCTTAAAGGTTTGATAGAATTCAGCTATAAATCCGTCCAGTCCTGGGCTTTTCTTTGTTGGAAGATTGCTGATTACTGAGCTCCTACTAAGAGAATGTTTACAAATCCTTTCACTGGCTTTGACATTGTGTCCTTTACTAAGCTTAAAGTAAAGAAAATATGGGAGAAATAATAATTTTTAGAAGTTGCGATGGATTTTGTCTCCCAGAAAGACAAAAACATCTTTTTGTGTATTGTTCAATGAAGGACATGGGTTCAGAGGACTGATTGTGACCCTGCTCAACATAGTTGGCAAAACCAGGATTATTTAGTTAGTAGAGTTTAAGCTGGCAGAAATGTGTTTGTACATCTAATTGGTTCTTTGAAACATTTAATTCTTTATTCTAAAGCTCTCTCTTCTGTTTTTTGTTTTTGTTTTGTTTTTTTAGTAATATATAATAAGCCAAACCAACATTGACAAATGGAGTTTTTCCAAATCTATCAAAACTTGAAAAATGTGATATTCAACTTTTTGTTTCAGATTGGATTAGTTTGTATATTAAGTCTTCCGGCAATTTTTATTTAAGAGGGAAAAAAAAGGAAGGCTCTTACATGGAGTTATTTCCACATTCTGTGTATCTTATTCTCAATAGGAATTTAAAACATATCAGAAAATGATTTTTAAAATAAACTAAGAGAAAAAAAATTACAAAGTAGCAAGTTATTTTATGGGAAAAGGAATAAGCTCATTTAATATATATTTATATTTTTGAAAGATAAGGAAACAAAAAGTACCAAGAAAGTACATTGAACAGTTACACTTATATCTGATTTTCACTTCCTACAACAGTTGCTCAAAGAATCCTTGTGGAAGATCGGTGACACAGCCTGGACCATTCAACTGAGTCAGGATTTCAACAAGCAAATGGGCAGCTACAGCAACACCTCCATTGAGAAGGTTGGCTTTTCAGCTGAGGGTGGACTTTATCTTCTACCTTATGATCAAAAATAACTGCTCAAGCTCCATCTTGTCTATACTGCGACACAAAGGAGGGAGGAACCATTAGAAAAATGAGGTCTCTCCTTTAAGGCCATGTCCTGAAAGTTGAATACTACCTTCTTTTCATTTCACATTTGGCTAAAACTTACTCATATGGCCACACCTATCTGCCAGGAAGCCTGGGAGGAATACTGCCTGCACAATAGATATGTGCCTGACCAAAATTCAGAGATTCTTTCAAGAGGAAGAAGAATGGATATAGCAGTCTCTGCCACAGCACCAGTTTAATGTCAGCTTACATCTTAGCTTCCATTATACCAGTCTTATAAAACAGTCTACTACAATTTAACTCAAAGTCTAGAGCTAAAAGAATACACAAAATCCAGTTCTTCCATTCCCGTGTCTCCAAATGGCCTCTACCTAACCCTTCGCCTTGTAGCCATCTGTTCCAAATGGGATGTGAATCCAGTTTCTGTTGTCTACTACTAATGTACCCTTAGGTAAATTATTTAACCTCTCTGGATACTCTGTAGACTCATCTTTAAAACAGAATATCACCTCTGAGACTGGCAGTGTTATGAGGGTTCATTGAGATAAAGTATATAAAGTCCGTAGTGGAGTGCCTAGCACAGGGCATATGCTCAATTAAAAAGTATCTTTGATCATGGTCATTGTTACATTAATATCATTTATAAATTTATTTTCCTTGGAAAACATTTGTTTCATAAGTTCCAGTACTGACTGGGTTTTTTTTTCCCCACAAATTATTTATCAACCTCCAACTCTCCTATGTAATTTTCAAAATTCCTCTTACTGATCAACTCTCTAATTTGGTACAGAGTTCTGATTCTCCAAATTAGTCTACCGTGCCTACAGACACAAATGAGGAAGATTTGGTGAGCCATGCCTCATCTTCTCATCCCACAAACTGGCCCTGGGTACCTCATGTCATACTTGCATCCAACAGTTTCCAGACTCCCAGGATTCCTCCAGGATAATGGTTCTATGGGTAGGCAGAGCAATTCAAGCAATGAACTGCCTACATAGCTCTCAACTCATACACTGAAATAATATAATAGGAATGTGCCAATTAGCTCTTACTGCAAACAAACTACCTTTAGTGACTTAAAATAATAGCCACGTATTCAGCTCACAATTTTGTAGTTTGACAATTTGGGTTGGACTCAGCTGGGCAGTCTTCTGATCTCAACTAGGGTCACAGGGTGTGCTGGAGGCTGGCTGGTCTATGGTGGTCTTAACTAGGACAGCTTGTTTCTATTCTTTGTGGTTTCTCATCCTCCAACAGGCTAGCCCATGCTTGCTCTCCTGTGGATTGCAAAAAAGTACACAGGTCTCTTGAAGTATAGGCTCAGAACCAGCACACTATCACTTTCACCACATCCTGTTGACCAAAACAAGTCCCAATGCCAGCCCAGATTCAAGGACTCGGAAAACAGACTCCTTTCTTAATGGAAGGAGCTGCGATGTTGCATAGTAAGGAGACATGGATAGAGGTAAGATAGAGAGTTGTGGCTATTTTTGTACTCTACCACATTTTCTCCCGGTGCTGGGTTCCTGATTTCTTCCATTCTGTACCAAGTTTCAAAGCAGGAATATGCTAGACACTGAACTAAAATCAGCAGAGAAGCAACTTGTCAGCAGGACTGGGAGGTAGACACAGACTTTGTAAGCTCACAGATTAAGGAGTTTCTGATCGCTCCTAACCAACTGGGGGATCAAAGACAGGTGAGACTCCATTCTCTCAGTTTCTTATGATGACAACCAATCCTATCCACAAAACTGCTAATAGCTCTTATGATAATGTGTTATCTAGCCAGAATTATCTATGAATATATGCAGAATAGTCCAACAGAGTTTTTAAAAGGCTTATCTTTTCAATATCAACACTTTGTTTTTAACCAAGTTTGTGAATACTTTGAAGAATAAATTTCAGTCATTCTTACTTAACAAGAGTACCTTGATGTATTTTGACCTCAGCTTTATAACTTAGAGCATGATCATGAGCATCAAGATCATTGAATTTACAAGCTAAAAGTAATGTCACAGACCACTGATTTTCAATCTAGAGAGAATGTAAGTACAGTTATGCACAGCATAATGACATTTCAGTCAACCACAGATGGCGTATACAATGGTTGTCCCATGAGATTACAGTAGCTATAATATACATATACATATGTGTATATATATATGTACATATGTACATAGTAGGTAGATTGGTGTAAGCACACTCTATGTTGTTTACACCACAACAAAATCACTTAACAACAGAACTTTTAGAACATATCCTTGCCATTAAGTGACTCATGACTGTATAACCTGGAGAGCTTTCCCAAAGCACTTTTACCTGTTCCCTACCCTTGCCTATGCTGAAGAGCATGTGTAAATGTGGAGGAAAGAGAGGATGTGTATTACAAAACAAATTTTGAAAACCCTCCTAGGCTAATAAAGACCACCAATATAAAAATATTGTCGTGTATACTGTTATATACTCCTCAGAAATTTTGAGATGTTTAGGGTTCTTTCTTCCACAGTCAATGGCCAGAAACCACTGGAGTTTACCGAATTTTCGAAAATGCTTTTATATTACTATTATTTCTTTTTTCCTTGTCAGATATTGTTATCATTTATTGCACTTGGCACTATTTCTAATGTCATTTTTTCCATCTTAGTTGCCCTTCTAGTTCTGCTATAGGCAAGAAAGGTAAGTTTATGTTAGATCTAAGCCTACAATGAAGCTATCATTCAAGGTCTGAGGGTTTCACAAACTTTAAAAGACAAATTGTGACATCCATATGAGCTCCTCAAGTATCTTTTTACTTCAAGTTCTTGAGTGTATCCCACATACTCAAGTGGCTTAATAAATAACCTCTGGATGGGTAAAGTGTTAACATATGACTTTCTTAATCTCACTGAGCCTAACTGGCTTTCGATCTCCTAAGCAAGACTCCTTCAATCATGTAATGCAAGAGTTGTAATTCTGGCATCAGGCTAGCTAGATTCAAATCTTGGCTCCACAACACACCTCAAGTTTCCTCCAAAGTAAAGTAGGGGAAAACAGAACCCTTCTCAATGATTTTATTCAGTTTGGGGTATATATGAGATTGAAATTGCAACTTTGAGGAACTTGAGAGAGAAAACTGACTAAGAAAAAGTAGTAGGATATCTGTGTAGATGTAAGGACTCAGTTGAGTTTGAAACCATAACATTCTCCTGCCACCAATTTCCTCAACGGTGTCACTTTTTTTCTAGCAGCATCCAGCAGACTAGGTGTTAGTAAACTGGAGAGTCAGATTTGTCCAGGGCAGAGGTTTCGGCAGGCTGAAATGACAGAAAGACAATGGGATATAGATCACAGAGTAGAAAAATCAGGGAAGGAAACAAGAAGTTAGGAAGATTAGCTGGAAGAGAAGAAACACAGAGCATTATGGGATGAAATAAAAGATACAGAGGGGGTTGTATCTTATTCCATTACCAAAGAACATGGGGATGTCAGGCCAAAGATTAGCTGGAAGAGAAGAAACACAGAGCATTATGGGATGAAATAAAAGATACAGAGGGGTTTGTATCTTATTCCATTACCAAAGAACATGGGGATGTCAGGCCGCAAGCCTTTAAAAAATTGTTTCAGACATCTTCTGGTGATGAAGGGTGTGGTATGGTATCTAAAGACAAAGAACAGTGCTGGTTGAGACCTTGGAGACAGGAATCTTGTCTCTGGGTTTTCATGGTGGCTGTAGCAGGGTTGTGCAATGAAATAAAATATAATAGGATTCATGAACAAATTTCCATAAAGGGACTGTGGTGAAATTAGCCTTGGACAAAAGACGTGGAGAGGGCAGTAGGAGGGCAGACGGTAACATAACCTTAGAGTGTGAAACAAGAGCTATACCAGCTTCCAAAAATTTAAGCACTCGAGATATGATAAAGTTTCAGCAGCAGAGTGATGCTTTAAAAATACCAGTGAACTCCAGCTCAAAAAAACACCACTCATCAATCTCAGATTAAAAGTCCAAAATCTTGAGGGTGGCCTTGAAAGCCCTACTAGAACCAGCCCTGTCTGACCTCATATGGCACTGATCTCCTCTGTGATTGGTCACTCAGTCTGCTTCAGTGGACCTTAGGGCCTTTGCACTTACTTTCTCTCTGTTTGGAACTCACCTTCCCAGACAGTCCAATGGCTCATTCCTTCACTTAATTGAGGGCTCTGCTAGATGTCACCCTGTTCATTAGGCCATCTCTAGCCACCCTATTTAAATTGCAAATTTCCCCTAACCCTCACCAGCTATTCCCTTATTCTTAACTCTAATCACCATCTGGCATACTACACATAATTATTTAATTTATCTGTTTACTTATTTCACTTCCCTGAATCAGGCTGCTTCCCTGTCAGTTCCCCTGGATATACACTCCACAAGGGTGAGGCATTTGGTGTGTTCCATTCAATACTGTATCCCCAGCACCCAGAAGAATGCCTGGCACATAGTAGGTGCTCAATAAATATTTGTTGAATAAATGAATGGTTAAACTCAAAATCTCATGCCTTTTCTGATTTCAGGGAATAACATCTATTTTAGGATATTGTGCGGAGAAGCACTTGGATCTTGTTTTAAAAGTTCTTAAAAAATTCCAAGATCAGGAAAAGTTTTTCATGAATCGATGTAAGGTAAAAAGAATAATTTTCTCTAAAGCCATTGGTCACTGCATGGGCAAAAAACACTGATTTCCTCAGTGAATATCCTTTCTCCATATTATGCTTATCGCCGTCCCCAGGTCCTTACTCCAAGTCAGAGCTGTCCAAGCCCAGGTCCTATAGCCCAGATCAGCTGTATAACAAATCCACTCTATTTTCTCTGTCATTAATGCTGACTTGGATGGTCCTAATGAATTCCATGTGTGCCTAGCTTTGGCCCTCTACCTGCTGCTCAGGCCTCATGAACAGTTTTCATTACGTATACTCTGCTTCTCCTGAAGAAGGAGCTGATAAATAAATAATTAACAAAAACCTTTCGCAGTTACCCCGTTAAGGCCTAATAGTCTGTACAATCCTGGCTATTTACATTTGGACAAGCAAGAGTATATCAGTTTTGGATTCACTGTAATCATCCCAGTGCAGTTTCTTAACCCCTGTAGTGGTCCATAGGATTAGGAAAAAACAGGAGAGAAAAACTAATTTGGTCACATTTTTCATGTCTCCCTTTCCTGGTCTTCAGGGCATTTTTTCAGGGAAAAAGAGCCTGACCAAGACTGATGTCATGGTCATCTACGGAGCTGTGGCCCTCCATGCTCCCAAGAATCAACTTCTCACCAGGCTTGACCAAGACATCTTATCCCAAGTCCTGTCTCTTTATGGCCAGTGCTGTCAGGTAACAGCCATCACAGGCTGCCTTGATTTCAAGGCTGGGATTCCCAAACCTTTCAGGGGCTCAGATCTTTGGAATCCTCAGGCTCGAGGGATGTAGGCCAAAAGAAAAATAGGATCTGTTATGTTTGGGAGATGAAAATGTGGGAACAGAAAAAATTATTATGAAAAGGTCAGGTAATTTGTTTCTTTGCTAAAGCCTTGGACAGTTCATGTCCTACCACTCTTGTGATGCCTTCCCAGATCAATTCTATCAATGGTGATCTCACCCTCATTTGAACTTCAAATAATCACTCCTGTACCTCTTTAGGACAGCCAGCTTATTACTTCCTTGTATTCTTAGAAGTGTTAGTTAATGGTAGTTGTTTAATCTTTTATGTAGTAATATTTGTAAAACCACCTAGAACAGTGTCCAAAAATAGTGTGTCATATGTCTTTTTAAGTGAATAAAATATGTCATTTGTCAATCTACTCAATCCACCTCACATTGTACTGCTTTCTCCCTTCACATTCATTCCAGCCACCCTAACCCTCCTTCAAGCCTCTCAACACACCAAGAATGTTCCTGCCTCACAGCCACCAAACTCAGTTGGGATGCACATGATCATTTCTGTCCCCCAAAGCACTTTCTTTGCATCTTTAATAAACTGCTTTATACATATTGTTAATTCAGCCCACTTTGCTGACAAGAACCAGGTTGACCATGTAAGAGTTATCTAGGGATCAAGTTTAAAATACAGTTTCCCAGAGTAGTTTTCCAGGGAGGTTGATTCAGTAGGTCTTGGGAGGAGTCTGGAAATCTGTGTGCTTAAAATGTTTAAGAGAGGGGAAAGGGGAGAGATTGGATAAGGGGCATAAAGAATAAGTACGATTTGTAGCAATGGACATGCTAATAAAAAAATCAGAAGGTTTAAGAATGATCCTTATCTATAGGCAGGAGGGGGGAGCTTTCAATGATTACGTGCACATGAGCTTCTCCCATTAGATCATTAGTACCTGATGCTCCTTTGTCTCCCCTTCTGTGTCTCCACAAACTACATATTTGATAAATATGTGTTCTTGACATTTACTCATATGTATATGCGATAAGTATAGATACACGCTAGTCGACTGGTGTAGGCAGTAATCTCACACCTTAGTTGCATGAAAATTGCCTGGTGAGCCAGTTAAAAATAGAGATGCCTAATGAATCACAGTCTTCAGCATTGGATCACTGAATCTGCATTTTCAACACGCTCCTCAAGAGCTGATTCTGATGTCCCCCAAATCTAAGCAATGATGAGAAATCCAAAACATAGTAAAGGATGTTTTATGTTACATTAATTTCTAGTCAATCAATGAGGAAAATTATGACAAAAATAAAAGAGGAAGAGAGATAAAGATGATTAAGATAACATTACTACACACGTTCAGGGTACAATCAATTCTGCCTTAACGCAACATGTGCACAAGATAATACTACAGGAAAATAATCAAGGATTATGGGGAAAATGGGGTTGGAGCACAACACTCAGAAAACTCTATCAGTGACACATTTTTTTAAGAAGAACCTAATTTTAAAATTAAATGTACAGGAATACTACCAAAAAATATGGCACTTCACCTTGGAACACCTGAAGTCAGTTGTGAAAGTAGTGAATTATGAAAGGTGGAGGAAAGGAGGATTATCTGAAATGCTGAGGACTATTAGTTGCAATGCCACAGTTGGACCGGAGAGGCTCCTAACACTCAGTAGACTGAGGTCGCTGGTAGAAGATGGGGCACCACGTGCCCTCTGAGGCTTCCTACGCGGCTCAGTTCAACCGTGCACCTTGAGTCTCGCAGATGAAACTGCGCATAAGAAAACGCCAAGCTCGGCACATGCTCAAAGTATTCCCTGATGTACCAATCTCTTTGGAACAAACGTGCACTTTCAACACAAGCTGTATATAGCAGAACTGACTGTACTCCGAGTTGCAGAATCGGCTGCCCTATGACTTTTCATCATAATAGCATTTCACTGCTCTTTCCCCCAGGAGCTTTTTACCCTTTTTCGGTACCAACGTCTGTTAGAGTCTCTTTAAACTGATTGTGAAGCCTGAAAACCCAAAGGCTTGGAGTCTCTATCCCGCTTTCTGTAGCTTACACACGACTCACCTGTGGCAGGCGGGAGGGGGAGGGTAATGTGCCAATGTGCAAGGTCTTTAAAAACGGAAGAGGAAGCACCGTGTCCTGCTTCACTGTTGTCTTTCAGGTTGAGGGGTGGGTCCTTTTGTTGGGCTGGGTGTGTCTCCGACTGCTGCTCACTCTGTATCTGTTTTGCCTTTGGTTTTTCAGGTTCTGGGCATGTCTGTGATGAACAAGGTATGGGATAGATAGATAGACAAATCGTGCTCTTTGAAGTGTGCCAAGCATAAATGGTCCTTCTTGTTTGATTCCATTGGAAAGGATCCCAATATATAACTAATTAATCCAATTCCAAAGCCAGGATCCATAATCTAAGACAGAACAAGGAGCTGTATTCTGGTTCCAGGTGGTTTAGAAGTTGAGCTATAAACTAGAGCAGGGGTTTTCAAACTGTGGATTGTGACCCATCAGTGGACCATGAGACCAATCTAAGAGGTCACAACCAGCAAAAAGTTTTAATGAAATAAAAGAGAAAATAGAAGAGTGCATTCCATATAGCAATTGCAAGTATTATTAAACTTTAATTTCAGTAAATATTAGATATGTTTTGTGTATGTAAGTACTAGGTGGAATTATAAATTGTTTCCTACTGTGGTTTATAGTCAAAAAAATTTGGAATCCACTGCTCTAGAGAAACTTCAATCTATGGTGGTTGGCGGGGGGAGAGGTTGACCTTTGTTTTTCGACTTCTATGCAATTTAGATCCTAGGTGGGGATAAAGATGGTAATGGGAGCAAAGGTTTTCGATTTTGTCTGGGCACATATTTCAACTCTAGGTCACATGTTTATAGTACCCTGGTGTGGTGCCTAAGACCTTGGCTTGCACCATGAATCATTTTGCTTTAGGACATGGATCTGCAAATGAGTTTCACAAGAAGCATCACTGAGATTGGCATTGCTGTCCAAGATGCTGAGGATCCAAGGTTCCAGTTTTCCTACAAGGAGATGCTGATCGGTTACATGCTGGTGAGTGTGCAGAGAGGGAATAAGGAAGGCCCTGAGTATTCCATTACCAAGAGTGCAGGGCTGTCTTTTCAAAAATGGGTAAAACTTGCCTGTCCCACCTATCAGATTTCTGCCATATTTCCAACCCATGGCACCCAAGGGTTCAACAAGGTTGCAGCTGCACTAGGGAACTCCGCTGAGGCTTTCTGATATATTTCACCTCGTTGTTTGTGTTACAGGACTTCATTAGGGATGAGCCCCTGGATTCCTTAGCTAGCCCTGTTCGGTGGAAAGCCTTAATCGCCATCCGATACCTCAGGTAGAAAAGTGTTTGTTGTTCTCATTGAAAAAGTATTTCCTCCCTCTCCTCCTCCTCCTGGTAACTGACTTATCTATCTGTACAGATTCCAGTGCACCCTCCCCCAAATAAACACAATTCATTAATGGGTCTTTCAAATAGGGGCTCTATCTCCTTCCAAAGAGTTACAGAACTGTCTGAGGGACTGATCATTTAATGACTGACAGGGACTAATGATACTCAGAAGAATCAGATTTATTGATGTCTGAGGACTGAAATTTCTGTGCAAAAGGAAATTTCTCTTCCTAGATCTTGACCTGTAGGCAAATTTTAATTTTCCAGTTAAAAACTTATAAAAGCCCTAATCACATTCTAGTTGGTTAACAGCAATAAATCTCAAGAAGAAAATAATTTGAAGCAAGTTTTTAAAATAATATTTCCCCCTCCAGTAAAAGACATACAAGTGTATCGTTAAATTTTGGAAACTACAGAAAAAATTTTAAAATAGTAAAAATCACCCATACCCCCTCCCCCCGTTGTCAACATTTTGGTTTATTTCCTTCAAGTCTTTATTTGTAGTTCTCCATTTTAATTAAGAGTTGAGATCCTACTCTGCATATAATTTTTTTATCTTGCTTTTTCTCACGTCACCTCGCATATTCCCATGTTATTACCAGTTCTTCATGAACATATTTCTTTTTTCATCTTTATGTTTAATTATGTTGAAGTACACAACACATACAATTTATCTTTCATTGTACAGTTCAGTTGTGTTTGGTTTATTCACATTGTTGTGCCACCAACCTCCGGAATTCTATTCATCTTGTAAAATTAAAACTTTATACCCATTGGACAACTCCCTGTTCTTTCCTCCTCCTGGCCCCTAGCAACCACCATTCTGTTTTCTGTCTCTGTGAATTTGTCTACTCCAGGTACCTCCTAGAAGTGAAATCATACAGCATTTGTCTTTTTGGTACTAACTAATTTCACTCAGCATTACTGTCCTTAAAGTTTATCCATGCTGTAGCATGTGTCAGAATTTCATTCCTTTGTAAAGCTGACTAATAAATACTCCGCTGTGTGTATATACCATATTTTGTTATCCATTCATCTGCCAGTGGTCACTTGGGTTGCTTCCACCTTTTTGCTCTAGTGAATAATGCTGCTATGAACGTGGGTATACAAATATCTCTTCAGGACTCTGCTTTCAATTCTTTTGAGTATATACCCAGAAGTGGAATTGCTGGATCACATGATAATCCTATTTTTAAATTTATGAGAATCCACCATACTTTTTTCCATGGCAGTGTTACCATTTTATATTCTCACTAATAGTGTAGAAGAGTTCAAATTTCTCCATATCTTCATCAACACTTTTTTTGTTTTAATAAATCAATAAAAGAAAAGGGTAAAGCCCTCTTTTAAGAACCCAAGTTTTTTTTCTGTTTGTTTTTTGGTTTTTGGTTTTTTTTTTTTGTGGGTTTTTTTTTTTTTTTTTTTTTTGATAGTAGTCATTCTAATGGGTATGAGGTAGTATCTCATTGTGGTTTTGATTTGCATTTTCCCTAATGATTAGTGATACTGAGCATCATTTCATGTGCTTATAGGCGATTTGCCTATCTTCTTTGGAGAAATGTCTAGTCAAGTCCCTTGACCATTTTAAAATCAAGTTGTTTGCTTTTTAATTGTTGAGTTGTAGGGGTTCTTTATATATTCCGGATGTTAACTCTTTATCAGATATGTACTTTGCAAATATTTTCTCCCATTCCATAGATTGCCTTTTACTCTGTTGTGTCCTTTCATGCACAGAAGGTTTTAAGTTTTATGTAGTCCATTTGCCTATTTTTACTTTTGTTGAAGTCCATTTTTCTATTTTTACTTTTGTTGAAGTCCATTTGCCTATTTTTACTTTTGTTGCCTGTGCATTTAGTGTCATGTTCAAGAAATCATCATCAAATCAAGTGTCATGAAGCTTTTCCGTATGTTTCCTTCTAAGAGTTTAATAGTCTTAACTCTTATATTTAGGTCTTTATACCATTGTGAGTTGATTTTTGTAAACAGTGTAACATGAGTCCAACTTTATTGCATAGTGATGCAATTGATTTTTGTATGTTGATTCTGTATCCTGCAACTTTGCTGAATTCATTTATTCTAACAGTTTTTTAGTCAAGTCTTTAGGATTTTCTACATATAAGATTATGTCATCTGTGAACAGAGATAATTTTACTTTTTCCTTTCCAATTTGAATGCTTTTTCTCCCGACCCCACCCCCCTTTTTCTTGCCTAATTGCTCTGGCTAGAACTTCCAGTACTATGTCAAGCAGAAATGGTGAAAATGGGATCCAGTCTTGTTTTTGATGATAGGATCCTATCTTGTCTTTGCTGACAGAGGAAAAATTTTCAGTCTTTAAGCATTGAGTATGATGTTAGCTACAGGCTTTTCATATATGGCATTCATTATGTTGAGGTAACAAACACCATTTTTAATGACTACTTAATGGCTCGTTGTATAAATATGTTTCATCTTACTTAACCAGCCTCCTATTGTTATATTTATGGTCACCTGTATTTAAAAACTATAAGTAATACTTTGCTGAACATGTTTGTGCAAAAAGTGTTTTCCATACTTCTAAGAATAATAGTTGACAGTTTTGTTCAATAAATATTATTGAGTGGCATACATGTTATATTAGTCATATCATGTCATATCAGGCTCTAAAAAAAAATGAATAAAATATGGCCCTGATCTGAAGGAGTTTTAGCCTACTGGGAAAAATAAATTTAAAAATTATCCACATAATTTCTCCAAAATGTGGTAAGGGGCAAGATAAGGGCAAGCATAGGTTGCCATGTTAACAAACATGATGGAGGTTTGTAGAAAGCTCAAATAAATAAATCTTGTACATGAATTAAGAATTAATCAGATTCTTAAGCAGTGTTGTCAAGTAGAAATATAATACAAGACACATATATCATTTAAAATTGTCTAGTAACCACTTTTAAAAGAGTAAAAAAAAAAGGTAAAATTAATTTTAATAATATATTTTATTTAATCCAGTATATTCAATATATTATCATTTCAACATGTATTTAATATAAAAATTAATGAGATGATTTGCATGATTTTTTTTTTTTTTTTGTCCTTTTTGAGACCGGCCGCACTGCACTCAGCCAGTGAGCGCTGTGAGCGCACCAGTCATCCCTATATAGGATCTGAACCCGCAGCGCTCCCAGCACCACACTCTCCTGAGTGTGCCACGGGTTTGGCCCTGCATGATTTTTTTATACTAGATTTGCAAAACCCAGTGTGTTTACATTTATATCACATCTTAATTCAGACTAGCCACAACTCACGTGTTTCGTAACCACATGTGTGGTTAGCGACTACCCTCACTTAGGGCAGCTGCAGGACTTGAACAGTAATCTCTAATGATAGAAAGCAAATCAGCGATTGCCTAGGGCCAAGGTGGAGGAAAAGATTAACTGCGAAAAGGCATAAGGAAAAATTTGGGGATGATAGAAATGTTCTACATTGATTATGGTGGCGTTTGATATAGGTGTGTCGGGATTCTTTAAATGGATACAGCTTACTGTACATAAATTATATCTCAATAAGTTGATTTTTAAAAAAATAGTCAACCAGACAATAAAGATGAGAAGGCTTTCAATACAGCTTTCCTAGATGGTACCAAATTTTACTCCTCTCTGAGGGAAACTTTTTCACCCTGCCTGATAGTGTCATCATTTTCAATTTCTTTGCTAATTTGTTAGTTGATAAGTGGTATCTTGTTGTCTTAATTTACATTTTTTAATAACAAATGGAGGTTTTCGTGTTTTTGTGCCAGGGGGAAGGGGATCATGTTTATTGAACATTTGCTTTTTCCCAAGTCATGTCCAAGTTTGTTCATATCCTCATGATGTCCATAGCAAATGTCTGAGAGAAAGAAAGGAAAGAAGGAAGATTTCAGTATAATTTATTCATCCGTGCATTCATAAGAACCTCTAGTATGTGTGGCACTACATAGAACACGAGAGGACATACGGAGTTGACAAAACTCACTGCCCCAGACTTAGACTCTAGTCGGGGGAGATACCTCTCTCTCTCTCTCTCTTTCACACACACACACACACACACACACACACACACACACAAAAGATGGGGAAGACAAGCAGGTGATGTTATCACAGGCCATACCACAAAGCATTAAGTAGTGCTAAGTGATTATTTCTGCATTGCTCTCATAAACTAGAACGCAGGCATATTGACTATGCTCCCCAGTGCAGTCTGATTCTATGCCCCCAGTGTCGCCCTACTCCTGTCACCACCTCCCTCAACATCCCAACATGTCAGACAACGTGACATGTTTGTCACAGTTTCAGATTTGACTGACAGTTCTTGGGTATATCCTGTTTGTAATCATAGTATCCATTTTTCCACTTGGTTCTCGTTTCAGTAAACTGAAACCTCCGCTCTCACTAAATGACCACCTTAATATTCTTGAAGAGAATATTCAGAGGCTGCTGCCCCTTCCACCTCTGGAAAAACTCAAAAATGAAGGCCAGACAGACAAGGACAAGGAGCATATTCAAGTGCGTGGCAGTGGGCCCGAGCAGAATGAAAAACTGGTGGGACTTCACTTTGTCACCTCGGCCTGATACTCACCCGCTCACATGTGATTTCAGTTTCTCTATGAACGATCCATGGATGCTTTAGGAAAACTCCTGAGGTCCATGATGTGGGATAATGTGAATGCCAATGACTGTCAAGAAATGTTTAATGTGAGTAGGGCCGTCACTCAAACTGATCCCCTCAGTCCCTGAACCGTTCTCCAATGCACCACCCCAAACTCTACCTCACCTTCTTCACAGGAACCCACCCAGCCTGACCCACTTACCCCACCATATAGGGCCAGTTTACTTAAAAATTGTTTCTGGGGAAGTAAAAGCACCCTGTTACGGAAGAGGCTGAGAGAGAGTCTGAGAAAGGGGCCCACCATATAGGGCCAGTTTACTTAAAAATTGTTTCTGGGGAAGTAAAAGCACCCTGTTACAGAAGAGGCTGAGAGAGAGTCTGAGAAAGGGGGGGAGAGAGAGAGAGAGAGAGAGCAAGAGAGAGAACAAGAGACAAAGAGAGAGCAAGAGAGAGAACAAGAGACAAAGAGAGAGCAAGAGACAGAGAGCAAGAGAGAGTGAGTGAGCACACGGTGGGGGAGAGGAGAGAGAGAAGGGGAGAGAGAAAAAGAATGAGACCAGATGAATATGAAGATTATCAAGGAAGGACATTTATTCTTTAATCAACAGCTTCTTCGAATGTGGCTTGTTTCACAAAAAGAGTGGGAAAGAGAAAGAGCCTTCCAGATCACTGCAAAAATGCTGACACATGATACTGAGGCAAGTCATTCCCTAGAATGAATAGATTTCATTGCTTGAAAGCTGCAGCAATGGAATCCCAAGCTCCCACATGACGGATCTCAGTCTCGAGGGGAGTGCCTTTTTCTGGAGAACCACCTGAGAGATCTCTCCTAACTCCAGAGTGTGCAGGCACACTAGAATTAAGCTACTTGGCTGTCTTTTGCATGCTTGCTTGCTTACTTTTCCACTGCCTTTAAGGAATCGGGCACCTTTTATGAGTAAGTTCAATATTCAATTTTGTTCTAAGGACCTGCAGAGAGAAAATAAGGGACTTAAGATCTGGTGCTGGGAATATCCTGGGATGACATCATCAAGACACCGCATCACATTGGGGGGCTTCCTTTGTCCTGCAGGCACCAGTGAACTTTAAAATCGGGTCACTCCTCGGGCTCCTGGCTCCTCATTCCTGTGACACTCTGCCCACAATCCGTCAGGCGGCTGCTAGCTCGGCTGTTGGGCTGTTCCGTATAAAAGGTGAGGGAAAGATGGGGAACCCACAAACAGAGAGAAAATAGCTACATATTTGCTGTTCTCAGTTTTCCTCCATATGTGTCTGTGCCTTTTTCCTTCCTCTCCTCTCCTGTCTTCTCTCTCTCTCTCTCTTCAGTTCAGCCATTTCTCAGTTCTATTACCTTGATTAGATCACAAAATTTGTCTCTGTCTTGATTCTGAAATAAGTCGTTTTTTTCCCCCACAGTGGCTCTGTTTTCCCTTTTAAAAAAATAAATAAATAAAGGTAATAACACTGTAACATTATAAAGATCTATTAAAGTTGGTGAAATGTTTTGAGAGTCTCCAATTTAAATCACTAAGCAATAGGGCATATTAGCAATGCATCCTCTATCACATGATTTTCTTCAAGAGAAAATTGTGCTATTATTATGGTGCTAAGTGACTTTCACAGTTGTCTAAGAGAGAGAACTTTGTGGGGGGTGGTTCCTCCTCCTGCTCTCCAAGTACACGTGAATAACTGCCAATATCAGAAAATATAAGGAATTTTAAAACCTCAGTCTCAGGCTGAAGCCCACAATCAGGGCCTCCTATCCAGGTTAATTCAGCAGTTGTTTCACTGAGGACAGCCCTACCATGTGCATGCACAGTACTGTGGAGACCAGGTGCAGCCAGGAACACTCAGTTTAACTCCACCTTGTGCCTAGGTTCCACTCGCCATTCTTTCAGGTACTCAAAATATTTATTGAGTGCCTTTACATGTGTCAATCTCTGTTCTGATACTGGGGACACAAAGATGTTACAATTCTAAGATTCACATTTTTAAAAGTGTGTTAAAACTAAAAGGTGGGATTTGCTTGGGGTAGGGAGTAGAGGGTTGATAGTCAGTCAAAATGAAAAAAACTATTCAGCAGAGTCAGCATTGGTATGAAAGTCCCTTGGGATTGGGGGACATAATTGATTAAGGATATATGCTTTTACCAACCCAGAAAAAAACATCAAGGAAATGAGAACTAAAGAACCATTCCAGTAAGAGAAGAAATGTACCATAAAGGAAACACAGGAAGAAAGGAATTTGAATTTTATTATTGTTCTACCTGTTCTCCCTTTAGCCTACTTTATTTCCTGAAACATGCAAAGTTCAGGTCCTCAAACACTCCTTGTTAACAAAAAATCCCACGCTTCATAATTTACCTGACTCTTTTGACTTGATTGATCAAATAAGCATGATGGAGAGAGGGAAAGAACATGTATTATTAAACACCAACTAGATACAACTAACTAGTGTGATACTAAATTAAATACCCATTAATACTCATGGATGCTGCTCAATCAGTTTTGAGAGGAGGGATCTGAAAGTAAGAAATTTACCAGCTACCTGGACCACTGGAGGTTGTGTAGCCACAACTACGAAAGTTCTGTAGACTGCCGTCCACGAAATGGTTCACGTGTTAGTTTCCACAGTTACCACACATTCAAATAACAAACAGAACATTGTCATTGTTTAGGTCTGCTTTTGTATATTGATATCGGTGGTCACTTATGCCATTGCTGTTTTAAATTTTTTATTACAATAGTTACTCTTCAATTTCCCGCAAGGTAGGTCACTGAAGAACAGAACTCCAAAAGAAAACAGCAGTAGGCAGAGTCATTAGAGCGTTGTGTCAATCAGATCAGGGTTCAAATTCTGACTCTTATTTTTACTCACTGCATGACCTTGGGCAAGTGGCTTCACATCTCTTTACCCCAGCTTTCTCATCTGCAAATTAGGGACAGTACCAGGAGAGTCTACCTCAGATGATCCTATGAGTAATAAATGACATCATTGTATGCGGAGTATTTAGCAGGGTGCCCGGCTTGGAGAAACTGCTCAGTACGTTAGCTCTTTCATTTACCATCTCATCAGACAGCCTTTAGTGTTGTTAAAGGTGTCCAGAAGCTGAATTATTGTCACTTCAAAATACAGCCAGCTTCTTCAACACCTATCGGGTCTTTGAACTCTTACATATTTCTCCCTTTTGACTTTAGGTATTCACCTGGAAGAGGAAAGACTGCAGGGTTTGCTGGAAGGGCTGGCATGTGACGACGTGGAGGCCCAGATCAAGATTTCTTCCAAAATAGCTAAGGTAATAAATACAGAGGAGACTGGTCAGAGGATGTAAAGGTGATTCTGGGTTTATTTCCAAATGAGTAAGCTATGTACTCCACACTATGAGGGAAGGGAACAGTTTAGACATTCAAGTTGAATGAAAGACGTTTTGTCCTGTCATTTAGTAATATTGGGTATGTATGCCTGGTCAACACCTGCTACTGATCGTTTCACACTTATGGGAAACTTTGTGAACCAAGTGGCCTCCCCCAAGGTATGGGATACAGTGGGGTAGAATGGAAGAAACCGGGGCTTTGAAGTTGATCAGATGCACTGTATGTGCACTGCTTGAAGTTCAGTCTCTTCTTCTCTATAAAAAACACTATACATTACCTCTCAGAGTTGTTGCAAGGATTGGCTGATCAATTCCGTCGTTCATTCAAACATGCATGCATTCACCTACTATCTCCTGAGCACCTACCACGTGCCAGGCTCTATGGGTAGAAAAAGACAATATTCCTGCCTTCATTGAGTTTGCATCCTAGTAGAGGGAGTCAAACAAACAAATATAATATCAGTGATGTATGATACAATGCTAAAATGAAAGGGAAAATAAAGTCATTAAAGGGGAATAGGGAATAGGAGAGAGATGATCCTCTACAGAAAGCCACACTGAAAAAGAACCATGGAGATATCTGGAAAAGAGCATTTCAGAGAGAGGAGAAACAGCAAGTGCAAAGGCCCTGAGGTGGAGCAAGAGGTGGATAATAAGATCTAAGAAATGCCCAAGGGCCTTCCATGCCTTTTTAATGACCTTGGCTTTTATTCCAATTGAAATCAAAAGCCAATGGAGGGTTTTGAGCAGAAGAGTTAGGGCCACTATGTATGACTGTGCCAGTTGTAAAATGCAAAAGGGCACCCTCATGTAAGGCAGTATCATTTATAATGTAGATGTTATAGATTTACATGCGTATTATGGCAATGTTCTGCAGATGGCAGCAAAGGATGCCACAAAATCAGTACATTATGACAATATACTTACAGACAGAAGTGAAATATCTTAAGGACAGAGCACATTTTTCTAACGTGCAAAGGTCCTTTAAGGGCTATTGGTGGTTCTGACAGAACAAACATGATCAGACTTATTTTTCTGGAGAGTCACTCTGGCTGCTGTGTGGAGACTAGAATACAGGCTGGTGAAAGCAAAATGAGTGAAACTGCAAGAATCCAGGTGTTAGATGAGGTGGCTTGGACCAAGGTGACAACAGCAGAAACACAAAAAAAAGTGATCAGAATGTGCGAAAGAAGCTGGGTGGGGACAGGGAGGGAACATATGTCAAGTGACTAAACAAGTGTCTGACACATAGTAGGGGCTCAAAAACATGAGTTTTCGTCCTTTCTTTCCTCCTAAATCAGCATCCATCCCAGTGCAAGAACAAAACAGATAACCATTGAGCTTGGACACCAGCCAAGCATTCACTGTTTCATAGAATGGAAGCAGTCATACAGTCCTTTGGTTTTGGAACCATGATAACTCAGACAATGGCTGGGATGTGCAACCGTTCATGGAAAAAAGCTCATTTGTTCTCAACAAAACAGCATCAGGCAACTTAATGCAGGGGGATGTCACTTGTCAATAGGAACGTTCTCATGTCTACAAACTCATCATCATTACCGTCTTGCTTAGTTAAAGCCCCAGATAATACTCCTGGAACTCACTCAGACTTCCAACTTTTCCCTGTCTGCCCACCTCCTTTTCACTAACACACATTCACAGACAGACGTAGGCACCCACATTCACGCACTGCTATCAACCGAACACTCACTATAGTTCTTACACCTAGAGACCGAAATTGCAATGTTTTTATTTTCTTGATCTTTTGACTGTTCTTGGTATCGAAGCATGGAAGAGCAAAAAACAAGGCTTATATTAATTCATACTCTGTATGGATACTGTCAGCCACCTGAGGATTCAGTATGTCACTTGGTATGAAAGGTCTTCAAAAAGTTCGCGGAAAGATTCATATTATCTTTTAATTTTATTTTTTTTCACAGATTTTTGAAGCACTCTCCTACATTTTGATAGATTTTTCTTCTCAAAACTTAGCTATTCTTTGGCAGATTTGCATCATATTTCTATTATATATGAAATGTATGTGAAAATGCTTTACAATATATAAATTGCTATGTAAACATTATGTATTATTTTTTCCCCTATCCAGTAGGCTATAACTTTGGGTTTGGAGAGTAAATTGCCTTAACAGGCTTGGGATTCAATAAATGTGAAATGATAAAAAGGCAACTTCAGAGAAAGTTTGCTTACAGAGAAAAGGTCATGTCTATGTCCTATTTTAATATTTTCTCTAGTTTCTGTGGCCTCAACTGTATGCTAACTGTTTGAAAATCCCAGTGGTTTCTAATATCAAAAAAAAAAAAAACCCAAAAACTATAGCATTATGTTGTAGGTGACCAGATACAAAGTGAGGTGGTTGCTAACATCCTCAACTGTATGCTAACTGTTTGAAAATCCCAGTGGTTTCTAATATCAAAAAAAAAAAAAAACCCAAAAACTATAGCATTATGTTGTAGGTGACCAGATACAAAGTGAGGTGGTTGCTAACACGAATTTTTCTGGGTGCATTCTCAGATTGTCAGTAAATTCATCCCAAGTGAAGAAATCCAGCAGTTTCTGGAGGAAACTCTGGATGGTCTGGAGAGCCTCAACCCCATGTGCACAAAGGCCTGCGGCATATGGATGATCACCGCCCTGAGGGAGCATGGAGCAGATCTAGAAGATCAGGTGAACTGACAGCCAGTTTTATAACCGAGCAGAATTCTAACACTTCTGAAATGCCAGGTCAGTGATGGCTTCTCAGTTTGTCCTCTGAAGGGCAACAGGCAAGAGCGTGCTCAACCTCAAGAGGTCTCCACAGAAGCCCGAGTTATGTGTTAACAGCAAGGCTCATGTTGATGCCCGTCTCAATTGCCTGTCTAGTCTGTGGTCATAAAGACTTTCCAGACTGTCCCACTGTGGCCAGAGGACACAGCTTGAACCAAAGCCATTTGGATTTGGGAAAACTGGGTTGTTAGGTCTGTAAGGATGAGAGTGATCATATGGATGCCATTGAGGTGGCCACGAGAATCCAGGAGTTTCTAATGCCATGGCACTCTCAGGCTTTTCTTCCACACACCCTCCCTATGGTTGTCTTGTAAGCAAGGCTGCCATTGGGTTGGAGAAAGTCCTGAATATTTCCTCCCAACTGGAGAGCTAAGCAGAGTGAACAGGATTTAAGTTCAGGAAGCTTGGTTAAGAGCTCCAAATAGAGATACCTCTATTCTCTCTCCTGAAGTCAGAGACAGAATACAAGCTATTTAAAGATTAATAAGAAGAAAAAAATTAACTAAATGAAAGCATCTCAAGAGGAATCAGAGAAAGAAGTTTGGTCCCCAAAACACAGACAATCACCCTCAATTTAAAAATTCTTCAAAGCGCAACTTTAGTATAAGGGTGTTAGAAACTACCTCTGTGCTATTTACCTTCCAGTAAGTCGTCTTTAAAAACCTTTATTGAGCACATACCATGTGGTAGGCTCTGGGCTAGACATGGGAGAAATCAGGGATGATAATGTGGCATGCCCATGCACTTGTGTGTTTAGTGTAAGGAGGAGTTGTTCACACAATAGGTAAAGGCTTACATTAAGGGCTGAAATCCTCTCCAAGCATCATTGAACTGGGAATCTAGGTAGTCATATTTGAAGGATATTTATTATTAAGGATTTATAATTCAGAGAAAATGTTATGTTTAAAATAAATATCTAATTTAAATGTCTATACAAAATAAGAGAGAGAAATATCTACTAGAAGCCGTGTACATGCCCTTGTCTGTGTCACAAATCCCAATGTAGAATTTCATTCCCTACTGCCCGCAGGTTAACTTCCAGATTCAGAAAGGTGGCCTTCAGTGCCCTCTGGGATCCATTTGCATCTTTTCTGTTAAGTCATCTGGCTTTCATCACCCTCCAACTCTCTGTGCTCCAAATTGGACTATCCTCCTATTCCAGAAATCTTCTTGGCATTTTCTTATGCTCATGTTCTCATGGTTTTTTTGGTTCG